GTCCTCAAAGAACAAGTAAACAAACAAACAAACAAAAAACCCTTCAATTAAAAACTGTGAGTGGAATCTGTAATTTTTAGCATAGTGTTTTCTGTAGACAATTTAAAAAGTTGCAAAGTAGAAAGTGACTTTAGTATCTTAACATAAAACAATTGGAATAATGGAAACTGTAACTTGGAGATACTACAAAGCATGTTATGGAAATTCTCAGGACAATACTTTAAAATTTGTGAGCACACACCAATATATCATTAAAGGTCACATTTCTTAGTGGAAAGTCATAATCTAAGTTTCTTCAGTTAAAATCCATCATAATGAATCATGGGTATGTAGCGGATTTTTATCTCAGCAATTCTTGACATGTAACATTTCCTGTCAGTTAAGTTAGATTTTCTACCATGAACCAACATCAGGCTTCCAACGTTTGTCCATCACAGTCTCCGGAGGTTATCTAGTTGCCAAGCAATTGGACTCTGTTTGAGGGCAGAAGTGAAGAGAGACAAGAGCACTGTGCGGTTCTATACTCCTGCTGGGTTCATCAGGACAGCAGTGGGGACCCTGTGTCTTGTGTCTTCTTGAAGTTGTAAATCAGATGCTTCACATCACCATACAGAGCAATGAGGCTTAGGACATGCAAGATAATCAAAACCTCCTTAATGATCCCTATTGCCGTCTGTTCTCTCAGAGAAGAGAGACCTTAATTTTGTAACATGTCTAATGCAAATTTTGCTTTTCAATTATATGTTGCAATATTGTTACTGGTACCTATCCAGAGATACACACAACTTTGTCTGAAAGTGTTTGTGTATGTGTGTGTGTGTGTGTGTGTGTGTGTGTGTGTGTGTATTTTAATGGAACTAGACTTGTGTATTGTCTTTGTGCTTTATTTTATATTCAGCATAAAACCATAAAAATATTCCACACAAAATTATAGCTTTCCTCTTTTATGACTTAATAGATTTTAAATGTATGGATTTGATATTCAGTTTAGAATTTTATCTTAAAATCTCTCAATTTCAATTTTATCAGCATTATTGCAATGCTATATATTTATTTTGTTGTGCTTATCAATTATCAAAGCTGTTTTTCAGTTTTGATCTGTATTGCATTGTTTACAAATAATGTTTCTCTGATTCTTTTTCAATATTCACAATTTCTTTTTCTTACTGATGACTAATGTTGGCATGTTCCACTTACTATTGACTTCAGTGAACGTGACTGTAGCATTTGACTTTTTAAAATAATATTGTCATTTAATCTGACAAAAAACTCTTCACTATCTTTAATAACTCCCTTTTGATATCTTGTTTAGGTTTTTAAATCAAAAGCTATGTCTGCAGATATTATTTTATTTTTCTCTTTTCTATTATATAAGTATTGATCTTTGTCTTACTAAGTCTGAATTAGTTTGACTTCAAAGAAGACAAATGTGATAAGCAATGAGATTAATTAAGTGGAAATTAACTTTTCACAGTGCTAGAATTTTCTGTACGCATAACACACACCACCATTTTTACCTGTCAATATGTTCAAGTATGTTAAATGCAAAACTGAAAATCTTTCAAGACTTTTCTTTTACTCCCTACATATCCGACTGACTACCCAGTTTTGAATCGCTTAAGTCTGCCTCTTGCAAATCCTTAGAATCTCAGTGTCAGTTTAAGCTAAAATAGATTCTTAAGAACACTTTGACCTAATATATTGCTTCATATGTGTCTTCTACTTTATATGTGTCTTCTACTTCATCCTTCACAAATCTGCTAACATCATCTTTCTCATGTGCTAGTTTAAAAAATTACTCTGTGTTGTTGTGTTACAATGTCCTCTTTTATCTCATTCTCCCTCCTTTTTAATTAATATATTTTCTCATTTTTTTTCAATTAAGGGAAAACTAAATTAAAAAATAGCAGAATATAGTAACTTTTTTGTTTTCCTATTAACCTGATTTGAACCCCAGTATTGCTCTCCCCATCTTGTTCTGACTGATTTACTATATTCTATTTTGTTTGATAGTATCAAGTTTGAGGGTATAGGCAACCACTTTGAAGGCAATAAGATATACTATGATACCCATTATGGTTTGACTATTATCTTCTTTTGAAGTCCTGTAAGGTCTCCAGTGTAGGTTTTATTGGTCTTGTTCTATACTGTTTTGATCAACTCTATTACACCTGATGATATAGGCAACTCATTTTAAAAATAGCAAGAGGTACAATAGTAACCACTTTTGATCACCTGGTATTCTATTTTTGCATCATGTACTATGCCCATCCTTCTGTTCTAACTGACTCTGTTTTGCTTAGTCACGTTTGGCTTTGTTGTCTTCAAAAAAAAAAAAGTAATAAGAAGTGTGGGAGTAATAAAACCCAAAATGTGTAATTGTTATTGTAAAAAAGAGAGGAAAGGAAGGTAGACTAAGGGATATAACTGCATGTATGTTTGAGTGTGTAGGATGGAAAAACATATTACTGAGCTTTTGTTGGATCAGTGAACGGAACTGTCTCCAATCTCACTGTATGAATGTCTACTTTATATGTTTTAATCTTGTAATTTGGACAACTATTTCTAAGAAGACAATATGTAACCTATTAACTAGTGATTTTTTACTATATATTTTTTTCCTGAAATTCTGTATTACTTGTAACCTTTTACTGCTTTGTTTTTTTATTTCTTTTCTTTTTTTCTCTTTAAATAAAAAAAAAATTACTCTCTTGCTTAAGATTCATCCATCGCTTTCAATCACCCTGAGGAGAGAGGTCCCATTCCTTACTGAGTGCACAAGCCCTCTGTGGTCTTGCTTCACACTGATCAACAGGCTTCGTCTCCCATCATGACCTGATGACCCTGAGATGATATTAGTTTATCATCCACCAAATTTAGAACCTAACATAGCAGATGCTTACATTAAATGTTTTGCATGCCCTGCATGAATGAGGAAAAGCTTCTCCAGCTTGGTCACCTACATGGAAGGTTATAAATCTCACCAAATCTGACACTATGTAATTTCTGGCTTTTCCTCAGAGTCAAAGGACTATGAATTAAATGTTTTAAATCCATTCGGATTATCGAGGCAGCCATGACAGTATAATGACAGACAGGAAAGAGGACATCCAGAGCTGCCCTGAATGTAACAAGGATGAGATTGATTTTCTTGAGGGGCAGAGAAGTGGGTAGGGGTTGAGTTAAAGCCAACTTTTTTTTTTTTTTTACTGTAGTAATTTCTACAACTTTAAGCATTTACAGTATTTTTTATCACATCTGATATGTTAACATTTGGAACACCTCTTAGGGTATTGCTATTGTCTACTTGCTGTCAGAAACAATAAATCAGTATCAGGTATGTTATTTTTCAATAGCTATTTTCTGAACCTTGTTTCCAGAGTTCATGAGGATAATTGTAAGTCATCTCATCTCATGTGTATATTTGTTCTGTGGTCCAGGTGTGACATTTTGCTGGTAATTAATTCTGGTTGCCTAAAGCCTTTTGAAGCATCCATTCATTTCTCTAGTTTTTATGTATGGTTTGTAAATTGTACACTTCAAAACAACAACAAAAAAAACTTTTCCAATATAAAGTCCCATTTTCTTTGTTCTGCTTATGGCTTGGAGTTTTGGGATTTCAGGATGCAGACATAGGATGTATGCCAACCTGATTTTTGAAGAAAGTTTTGAATTTTACTAATTCTCTTTGGAGGGATTCAGTTGTCTCCTTTCTAAATGCTAGTGATGCTTGACTTTCTAGCAACAATATTTTCCTTGCAACTTATTCATTTATGTCTTAGCTATGGATCTTGATTTAAGCAGTACAACTATATAAACCCAGTCTGTACCTTTAATGTGTTTCTCTAAATATTTTTTCAAAGATTTCTTCCGGTGTATGTTTCAAAACTTATGCCATTGTACTTGTACTTCTAAAGTGGAACATTTGAAACTGAAGTCCTGAGTAGTTAAACATGGCCAGATGGTCAGATAAATGGGGTCAACTCCCTCAGGATTTCATCTTCTATTTCCTTGACTTAGTTTTCTTTCTACTTGAATAACTAGCAGTATTGGACTTGCCTATGATTTGAAGACATATGCTAATAAATTTTAAATAAATTTTCCAGTGTGAAACCATTATCAAAAAAGGAAGAAACTAAAGAGTAAGATGATTTAGAGATACATGCAAGTACTTTTGTCTTATATTTTCTTAGATGTTAAGAGTCTTGTCATTAGGATTTTTATTTTCACCTTGTTTAGAAGGATGCTAGGATATAATTTAGTATTGTATTAAGAATCATAGAGAGTTGAGAAAATTTATCTGGTCAGTCAGGATCAACATAAGAATGAAGTACAAAAATACTAAACCAACACCGAGTAAAAAAACAATAAAGGAAAGCAAGTGAACATTTCAAACGCATAGGAGATCTTTAAAATTATGTATGATTGTAAAAAGTTTGCCATGATAATAAAAATATCTGTATTAAAGCAAACAAACAAATAGACATGTTTCTATACATGAAATGGAACTAAAATGAACATATTGGAGTGGATCTTTGTTAAGTAATAACTGCATTTCTTAGGAAATTTTAGATAACATATGAAGAGTACAGATTTATCTATTAATGGAATGTTAATATTTGCTGTCTTCTTAATGTTTAAACGTGTTTCAACTTTTACTTTTTACTGTTCTGAGACATGGAAATACATTAATTTTTTTCAAACTATCTTTATTTCTATTAAATGCAGTGTTCTGTTTTTTATGGTAATGTCTACCCAATTCGGCTCAGGAATTAATAAATTTACAATTTTTTCTGTAAAATTTATGGTCTTATATGATTTAAGAATATTTTAACTTCATTCAATTGTTTTATATACATAAAACCTTATCAGTTTTAACTGAGATAGAGTTATGAGTTTATGTGCCAAAATTAAATAACATTTCCTTTACTGTTTACATACTTTATCTAAAGTATAAACTTTAGTTTGTTTTACTATTTGTTTCTTTTTTTTTTCCCCAGAACGACCAACATTTCTCAGGAGGCCAATTAACCAGGTGGTGCTAGAGGAAGAAGCTGTAGAATTTCGCTGTCAAGTGCAGGGAGATCCTCAACCAACCGTGAGGTGGAAAAAGGATGATGCAGACTTGCCACGCGGAAGGTAAGACCATCATGCAGACTGAAGACTGTAAGGTGACCAGTGAATAATAAGGAAAAAATGCGTGCAAAATTCTTTGTATTAGACATTTTGTATTTTGTGTGTTTTTCACGGTTCCAGGACTCCTGCACTGAGCTACATCCCTAGCCCTTTTGCTTATTTGTTTGATTTTGAGATAGATTCTCACTAAGTTGCTAAGTTGTTCAGCCTGGTACTTGTGATCCTTTTGCCTCAGTAACTCCTAGTGCTAGAATTGCTGGAGAGTACCAACCACATTCAACTTCATGCATGAAAATTTTATATATATAAGCCATATAGCTGCTGTTTGCATTTTGCAGTCACTGAGACTTTTGACATCACTCTTTTAGTGACCATCCACCTTAATGTCCATCTTTCACTGCATCTGTTATCCCCTGTATTACTCAGGGATTGGTACCATTCCTACTTCCACCCCACTCCTGGTGTCAAGATCTGTATTAGTCAGGGTTTTACAAGAGAAAACAGATATAACACAGATATACAAATGTGTAAGGAATTACAAGATTGGCTTATGATGGTGAGACAGAGTTGGATGAGGAAGCATGCAAAGGGTTTCTGAAAGCCAGAGGCCGAAGGATTCAATCCAATGTCGGAATTCACGCAGTGTCCTATATAAGTCTGCACCAGCCGGCCAATGAGTCTGTGAGAGAAACTGAAGAATCTATGCCAGAATCTAAAGGATCCAAAGCAGAAGCCAAAGAGTCTGCACTAGAGGGCAGGAGACAATGTCCAATCCAAAAGCAAAGGCTGGAGCTCCTCTAAGAACAGAAACTCATCTGTGCTTCTTCCTTCCCTTTCATATCACCCAGGAGATGAGCCACACCAGGGTGGGTCTTCTGCACCCTAGGATGGTTAGTGGCTAAGCCAATTCAGTTAAGCTTCTAAACGTCTCAATCTGACAAAATCAGTCAGCCAACACATGCCTCAATGCCATGAATGGCTGAGGTGCTGTCCTTCTCATGTTCTTTGTAGGTGTGCTGTTCTGTTTCTGCTAGGTTACTGCCCATCCATCCCACTTGCCTACTTCAGCGCCTGCCCTGTTCTCATGGCTTTTCCTCCTCACTCAATGCCATCTGCCTGCCTTCAGTGCCCAAAGCATCTCCCCAAAGACGTTGCTCACTGTGCCTGACTGCAGCTCCTGAAGTAAGGAGAGACAACAGCAGGGGACAGGACAAGTAAAGGGCATCGGTGTCCCCACAGGAATCTGTCCTCAGGGACCTCCTGTCCCCTTCTCTTGCTTCACAGACACAGTCTTCATCTACTTGCACTTTCTTTTCACAAACCACAAAACTCAACCTCTCATTTATCTACACAGTCAAAATGTTGAGTAACTTTTATAAAAACGATGTGACAATTTTTGTTCCTAAATTTTTCCCTCTAAGCTTTATCCTTTGTGGTCAAATAAATCATTCAAATGATCTCTGATGTTTGTTTTTGTCTTTTTTTTTAATATCTGTTCACTGAATCTGTATCCGTCACACCTACTACACACATGATCTGTATAAAATAACGAATGCTTGCATTTTAAATTTTTTTCCTCCTAAGAAAGTAGGTTTTATTCAACCAATAGAAATTAAGCATATTTCCATAACAAAAGCTGCACACCGCTTCTATGATTTCACTAGTACCACTGTAGGTAGTGTACTGAATTTTTACATTCATTCCAAAATCTGAACTTTGCATCTGTGGTACTACAGTATATTTGCCAGATCCATCAACAACTTCCTTTCAATGGAGTGAACATTTTCAGATGCCTTGTTCTTTAATTGTTCTTTGTAGCAAGTGAAACAAATTCATCTAATGTTTTATAACAGGGAAAGCCAACTCTGTTTTGTTTCGGTCATTGTTATCGTTTTCTGTCATTATACAGCAAACATCTAGGAACGTCATTGTCAGAAGCTTGTGAATATGAGGCTTTTACTTTATCAAGGCAAAGCAGAGTAAAAAGAAAGCATTTTACAGAATTGTGTTGTTGCCATTATTCATGCATAGTCAAAACATTTCTTCTAATTTAAGAAACCATAATAATGAATTTTTAAATGTTGGCATATGAGATTACTCTAGTGTAGACAATGGTTAACTTTTGATTACTGGTGATAATTACCCCCCACCCCCCAGTTTTTTTGAGATGGCCTTTTTGCTACATAGGTCGCTTTACTCACTTTGTAGCTTCAGCCGGCCTCAAACTCATTGCGATACTCTTCCTCAGACTCCCTAATGCTGGATTACAGGTGTGTTCCATCATGGCCAGCTAATTACTGGGCATTTTAAATTAACTTTTAATTTTGAGTTTATAGGAGCCTTGCAAAGTTAGTATAGAGATTTCCTGTACACTCCCAACCTAGTTTCTCTTATTAATAACATCTCATATGACTTTGAAATATTTGTCACAACTCTTAAAACATGCTGATATAATTAAGTAAAATATAAACACTATTTGAATTTTACTAGTTTTTCATTAATATTCCACTGGCTGCTGTAGGACTCAATCCCTGAAATTTATGTAGCTATGCAGTAGCATAGGCTGTCGCCCGTACACTTTAGGCTTCTCTTGTCTCCTCTGGTGTATGACCGGTTCTCAGTGTTTATTTTTTGTGAACTTGACAACTGTGTAGAGAATACTGATCAGGTGTATTATTAAATGCACTAAACTTGAATATGCCTGGTGTCCTTTCACGATTGGGCTGGTTTTATGTATTTTATGGTTTATGGGAGGTAAAATGTTCTTTGCTTTGCACTGAAATCAGGGGTCCATGATAGCTAAACAAAAGTACTATTTGCTTTCTTTTGTTTCTTTGTACCTGGGATCGAACTCATGACCACGCGCTTTCCAGGCAGGTGCCACTGAGCTGTATCCCAGGCCCCACCAAAGTGCTATTGATCTCTTAGGACAGACTTATAAGTATAAAGTCATAAGCATGTATTGCACTTTAAAATGTCTATATTTGAATGATGATAAAATAATGTTTTTTTAAGTTTACTGCAGGCATTGTCCAAAAATTGACAATTGTAGCTGCTCCACTTCACTCTGAATCTTGTCAAGTTCATTACAATGAAGGTTCAGAGAAACCTGACCTCAAACAGCAACATACAAGCTGCATTTTCAGAATGTTTTTTTTCAAGACCTCTAAATGCCAGGTTGAAATTTTGAAAATTCTCACCTCAGCTAACTTCCTTTTATATGTTTTCATAACTTTGGCCTCTGTTCCTCTATTCCTAGCAATATACGATTGTAGTACTGTGTGACCAGCTAGATATTTTAAAGCATTAGGCAAACATAAGTGCTGGCTAAGCTTTAAATCGTTACATTAGAATGGTTTACAGCAAGGATCAGTGCAATATAAAAATTGAGGTCAATGTTTTTATCATGATAGAAGCTATGTACTGTTTCTATTCCCAATCTTTAAATGATATTCCAAAGAAGCTTATTCATTCTAAAATGTGTGTGTATTAGCATAAGCTTCACTTACGCATAATGAAGAGAAAAAGACACTTTTTTACTTGATGAGGAATAGCAGTAATGACTTTTAGCCAACTGTAGACAAAATCAACAACATTGAATCTATTACATTATTTAGGTTTCTGACAAGGGAGATAGCCATTGTTCTCATATAAGCAATTGGTATGGAGGATGACATTTCTTTGGCTTAATGTATAATGAAACTTGAATAAGGTGATGTAGTGGTTCATGCTTAACACATTTATAGTAAAGCTTTCTAGGGCAGCTGCGTAGCCTGTAATTACTATGTAAGTAATATGTGACTATTTTTCTTTTGGAGACAAGAAAAGCTTTTCAATTCCAGTTTAAATTTATGAAATGCTGTGATAGCTATTTAAACCTTCAACACAGAAGTTATCTGTGCCAACTTCTCAGTAAGCAGAGATGAAAAATTAGCGAGTATTTTTTTCCCCTTACGGTGAAAATATTTTAAGTAGTACCCATTTGCCTCTTTCTTTTTTTAGCCTTGAATCTCTGACCTTTCTCAGTAGCTAGTTTAATGAAGTATACCAATATATTCTTGGTAAGTTGTAGTGAAAACATTTCCATGTAGACTATTTCAGTGAGGTAGGAGATAGAGCAAGTCTAACAATACTGCTTATCCCCAGCCAAAGAAAAAGTATTTATGTGGACATTTTTCAAATGACAAAGGAACACATTTGGAAGCAAGCTTCACATTGTATATGCTCCTATGTAAACACTGATAAATTCCTTGCAGAAATTTTCCAAGGCATTTTAAAATGACTATTTCAGGAAGAAAAATATCAGTGCTTCTGATATTTTTGCTAAACATCATGCTAAACATCAATATATATATTTTTACCAGAAGAACTCAATATACACACATTGGAATAAACCAACACTAATTTATTAGGGATAGTAATTTAATGTATCAATGTGAAAATGAAATGAATAGAAGAAATAAAAGGATAAGTCATTCCCGAATGATTATGCTTTTTAAAACATAACTTTTAAAAGCATGCTTTAAATTATAAAAGTTAAACTTTCAGGTTTGTCAACATTTATTAACTGCCTACTCTATTGAAAGTGCTCCTTGCCAGTTTGTAAGTCATTTAATAAATTAAAAATACCGCTTTTGATTCTTTGTTTTTTTTAAATTTTATATTAATAAAATTTGGGAATGTATTTATATATTGAATATTAAAGAAAATAAACAAAAGTAGAGGTGATTTTTTTTCTTCCTGAGGTAAATACTTTAGGCAGCTCTAAACCCTTTTACTTATTACTAGTCTTGATGAGCAAATGACTTCAATGTATCTTCCCACAGTGTTATAAATGAAAGAATTCTCCAGTATTGTAAGAAATGAAGCAATGTTCCATTGTATAGCATGCTTCCTCACAGAATAGAGGTGCTATACATTTTTTCTATCAAAAATATGTATGTGCCAATATGCCATGGAAAATCACATATAAACATATAGAAATTGAACAAAATAAACTTATC